ATAATGATGGCAGCATTCAAACTTATTATATCTAGTAGTCTACTGCTACTGTTTTTTTTTTAATTTAACTTTTTACTAACAACAGTAAAAGATTAGAAAAAATACCACTAATTTTTTTAAAAAAATTAATAATAAATACTATTAATTGATAGAAAATGAATGTAACAAAAGTTTGTTGGTGAAATAATTGCAAACTCAATTAAAGTTTTATAGTTAATTATTATTAAAGATAAAATATTTTTTAAAAGTGAAATGACAAAATTTTCACCTTCAACCTTTTTTAAATTTCATACATTTATCAACTTATTGGTACATTTAAATCTTCATTTATCCAAAATTAATGTTCAAATAATTATATTTTTAGTTAATAAAAATCTTATTGAATTTATAGTCTAATTTTTAGCATTGTGAACTTATCAAGTCTGTTGAAAAATAGACGCTCATACTATATTTATTTGTATATTTAATTAATAAATAGAATACACATAACTAACATAACAAACAATATTATGTTTGACTACTTTTTATAATTTTTTTAGTCTATTTTTAACTTATTATATATAATTTTAATGATTTATAATAAATTTATAATTAATGAGTGAAACATACTTTAGATTATTAATTATTTATTGATAATATTTTGATTTAGCTTAAAAAGAATTTTTCTTATTAAAAAAAAAGAATTTTTCTTGATATAAAAAATAAATTAGAATTTTGTTTGCTATTTTTTTTTGTTTAATCTTACTAAAGTTATGTCATTTCATTTAAAAAAAAACTATAAAAACAAAGATAATAGCATTATTTTTTAATGTTAGCGGGAGAGAAGATTGAGGAATAAAATCATATTAAATTGATAAATTCAAAAAATTCAATAATAATTAAATTTCAAAATTACAACCATGCCTGAAATTTTAGAATAAAAACCTCAAAAGATAGCTAATAAATTGTTGTAAAAATGAGTGAAGAGAACGTCATATATACATATTAATGTGGAGATCATGGATAAGTCGAAGGATAAATTGAAAACTTTTGAGATTCCAACCCCTTCTGAATTTCATTATTAATTCTAATTAAATATAAAATCATTAATATATAGAATTTGTGTTAAAACTTTTTAAATATAGACCAAAATGATCGCTTTTCCAAAATATAAGGATAAAAACGAACCTTTTAAAAATACAGGAACTAAAATGACTAAATTTGAAAATACATAGATCAAAATGAACATATTTTTTAAAATACAAGATTAAAATGAACCAAAGCTAACAGTACATTGACCAAAATAATATTTTAACCTATTTATTTTAAAAGCTATACCCCACTTAGAATTTTGTTTTATTGTAATTAAATTATTTTTAAACTTTACCCCTTGACCATTTGTTAAAAGCAATATAATTATTCCGTCAAGATTACTGAAGACCATTAAAAACTTATTTTTCAAAACTTAGACACTATGTATTTTTTAAAAAAACTATGACCTATTAGAAAAACTCAGGGACAAAGACGTAATATTCCCAAACCAAAAAGGCTAAAAAACACCTACAACTTTAAATGATTCTTGAAAGAAATTATTTAAAACAAATTTAATTATTTCAAGAGTGATTTGAACGATAATTTTGAGACTCATCCAATATTAGTGTTAAGGATCCCACATTGATCAAAGAATGAACCTTACAATGGTTTATAATAGACATGGGCTACTCCTCTCATTGCCAATTGATTTTGAGATGAAACCTATGAATATTGATATGGTATCAAAGTCCATCGGAGTCGCTTTTATGGCAGGAACTTATACTCAGGACTGGCATAAAAATTCTCAGACCCCCTTCCAGCAATGCTGTTATAAAAAAGCTTAAAGCTTTAGCCAAGAGCATCAAGCTATGGAGGAGAAACCACGGTCCAAATCTACAAAAGGAGAAGGCTAGCATATTATTTATCAAATCTTGGAAATCGATAAGTCGGAAGAGGCACGTTCTATAAGCTCATCTGATTGTTGTCGCCGGTTGTGCTTAAAAAACGATCTCAATTCTTTAAACTTAACGGAGGCTAGAATTTGGAGCCAGAAATGTAAAAAGCTTTGGCTTATGGAGGGAGACAAGAATTCAGCTTTCTTCCACAAGGTTTGCACTGCTAGAAGGAGGAGAAGCTTCATTTCGGAGATTGTTGATCCGAAGGTACCAGTTTGGTCTTAGATGATGCGATTGAAAAAGAGGCCATTAGACAGTAAAACAGAGTAGGGGTCTATGGTCAGTAACCTTAACTGGGACCCCTTAAGCATAGAACAGGCTTCATCACTTACTCGCTGACTCTTTCTGGCTCCCTGAGCGAATACACATGATTTGAAAGTTGGAAATTCACATACATTTCTAAGGGGGCAGACTAACTCTCGTTCAAGCTGTCCTTAAGCAGCCTCCCTATGTAATTTTCTATTGGGAGAGGGTTAAAATTCCAAAAGTTCCCACTTAGTCCGCTGGGATATTGTCACCTTGCCAAAAGACAGTGGAGACCTCGATATCCGGAACATTGCAGCTACAAATTCGGCCCTTCTCAATAAATGGATATGGAGGTATTTAACTGATAAAGATAGTCTCTGGTTTTCTCTTATATCGGTTAAATACTCTACTGAGGCTTTTGATATTATACCTTTATATAGTAGATATGGAAGTTCAAAATCCCCATGTTCTATATTCTAAAACAGAAAGATTCTTTCAGTAGCCATATTCAGTGGCAGATTGGCAACGACAGAGATACCCTTTTTTGGCACCACAATTGTACTGGAAAAGGCCCTAGGCCCTATTTACCTGCTTTTTCCCTGATTTTATGCTCTTTCTAATGGAAAGATTTATCTGTTTTTGAAGCATGGAACGGGGATCATGGAATTCCGTCTTTCTCGCCTAGAAGACCTCTTCTTCAAAGAGCCGAGTGGATTATATGGTCACAGAGAACCACTGAGTTCCCTCGCCCCTCGAACCTTCAAGGCTCAGACTCTCCTAGATGGGTCCTCTCCAACAACGGCCTTTTTTCGGTGCAATCTTTCAAAGCCAGTCTCTGGAACACTAGCAGTTCACTCCCCCTTCCTTCTTCTCGGCTCTTTGGAAGTTTCTTATTCCCAAGAAGTTTGTAACTTCTTTTTGTGGTGTGTTATGTACCGTGGCATTAACACTCGAGAGAAAATCCATAAGCGCCTCCAAAACGTATATAATAAGGTTGGTGTCCCCTTTGCAAGTCAGACTCGGAAACACTGGACCATCTACTTCTTCATTGCCCACTATCAGCTAGACTCTGGAATAATATCTTATCCACTTATGATATTTGCACTACAATTCCAAGACATATCGATCATTTTATTTCAGAGTGTCTTGACAAGCCTCTTTCCAGCAAGAGAACGGTTCTGTAGAGTAATGCGATCAATTTGACAATCTGGCATATTTGGCTCGAGAGGAACAATTGTCGCAGATAAAGAAAAATCTTTGACTAACATATCTGGGAAGACATTATTCGACCTGCATCTCTTTGGTCATCAAAATCTTCTTTATTTTGTAATTATGATCCTTACGTAATTTCTCTAAATTGGGGAGCTTTTATTTAATCTTCCCTCTATGTTTCTCACCTAGGTAATGAAGTGATCGTTTTCCAAAAAAAAAAAAGAATGTTTTTGAGTGACCCTTTTCTATCACCATATTGGGAAAATAAGCATGAATGATATGGAATGATGGTCGAAAAAATGATTTTTTAAAAAAGAAACACCTCTTCTCTCAATCATTTTTTTTCAGTATGTAAATGGTTTTAAATGATTAAAAGTGCTTTCTAAAAAATTATAAACACAAAGAACTTTTCAACTCCAACTCCAAGTTGATTCAAATTACGGTAAGAAGAAGTTTTGTTAATTACATGTTGTTCTTCGTGGGATATACCTTTATCTTCCTGAAACATTCATATATGTAAATGCAAATACATATATGTTTCCAAAAAATAACTATATTAAGAACATATATAATCAAAAGATTTTCATACCAACGATAGCCCTTCACTGTAAAAGCATCGGATTCATAAAAAGCCGTATCTAGTTGTGAGAAATCCTTGATTTTCCACATAAATTTGTTGTCTTTTGGTTGTTTGATCAAGGAAAAGACCTCCCCTTTCCCATCACAATTCATTACAAAAATGTCCACTCCAAATACGCAACAATCACCAACCAGGAATCCATTTGAAGTATCGTTGAAAGTTTCAAGTGACATCAACTTTTCAAATCCCCACTCTGTCTTCATTACATTGAAACGTCTCGTTTTTCCATCTACAATATTAATATACATATACAATCAAACATAAAACCTTCCAAGCAAGATTAAGTATAACATGTTTTTGAGTGATTTGGTTACCCTGGACTACTGAATATTTGTCTCTGATACTATCATAAACAAGAAATCTAAACACAACATTGATCTCTGAAGTAATTGATAAGATGTCATCCTCGGCGGTTACCAAATAGAGGGAAATATAATCAGACACATTTCTTTTCTCATCTCCATTTGGATACACAGCCAATTTCCTACAATAACAAATTAAATTAAACAAACGTTTGAGAAACCAATATGAATTAAGATCCTACTGGAATTGGAGTTGAATTATATATAATTAAGTCACTATTTATAGCCGCCGACATTGAAGATTTGAGATTCTAATTGGTGACGATTGGAAGCAGCGAGTGCGTGTTGAGCAAGGAAAAAGATTGGATTTTGAAGGCATAATGGACTTGTTTCTCGGCTCTGCCGGACCTTACAACTGAAATTAAAAACATTGAAAATTAATTATAAGCATTCAAGATAGGTTTAGAAGAAGAATTAGTTAATTACAACTGAAATTAAAGTTGCAGATGAAAAACCAGAAGCAGAAGCAGAATCTAGGATAGTCTTATAACTAAATAGAATGAGAAGGGGAAAAAAAAGTAGGATACGATTTAGATTTACCAAAAATCCTAATTTTCTTTTTTGTTCTTGAACCGGACCGATCCGTTTAGTACGATTCAACATACGAAAGGAACAATAAACTCACTTGTATGGTACGAGCTTAACAACATTGATATAGGGTATTCCACCAAATTTTTGACCTAACAAAAACTACCTTAAAAGGTACTTTAACCTTGAAATTTTCTATTTAAATTGTATTTTTAAAATATTTATTTGATAAAAATCTGGTTTCTTATTTTCAACTTTTATTCACTTTCAAAATTTTCGTTTTGGTTCCTATATTTTTAAAAAGTAACCATTTTGATCCCTTAATTTTATTTTTAATCTTATTTTTCTTTCACAATTTCAATATGACACCTACACCCAATTTATTTATAGAAATGTAACTATAACTTTATTTCCATTAATATGTAGAATTTGTGTTAAGACTTTTGTAAATATGGGCAAAAATGAAAAAGAAATAAAAAATGATGAGTAGTCAAATATTTAATGGTGTTAAGGAGAACCTCAACTTAAAGGAGCCAAGTTTTTTCGTTAAAAGTATAAAAGCCAAAACCAACATTTTGTAATTACAATATAGCTCCCATTTCTCAACATTGGAATGCTTCCCTTTGATTGAGCTACCATTTTCTTTTCTGGAACGCTTTCGTGGTAGCATTTTCCTTTTTGTTCCTCCCGTACTTTTAATGAAATGATAGCTTTTTATAAAAAAAAATTACAAGGGCTAAAATGAACATTTTTTTTTTAAAATAAAAAATGAACCAAAACTAAAACTACACTGGCTAACCAAAATAGTATTTTAACCTATTTATTTTTAAAGCTACCCCACTTATAATGTTTTCTTGTAATTACATTATTTTTTAACTTTACCCCTTGACCATTTGTTAAAGGCAAAATAATTATAAGAAATTTTGTTAAGTTTAAAGGGCTAAAATAGAACTTTGAATTTTTATGGAAGCTATAAAAGGGGTATTTTGAATGTTTAGAGACCATAATAGTAATCTTAAAAGTTCGTAGACTGAAATGAGATTTGAAATAAAAGAAAAAATAAACGATGGAGGAAAATCAAATGAAAATTGAGAGTTAGAAAAAAACCTAAATACCAACAAATCAAATTACACCCGCGTAATTTAAACTTGAAATTACACCGGTAAAGAATTTTGCCATTGAATTTTAAGTTTGATTTTTTTTTTTTTTGCAAAATTCAATAAAAAAATTCAAACTTTATTCAATTGCAAAATTCTTTATCATCTTTGACCAACATGAACTTAGCTCAACATTGGCGCACTATCTCTAACTATTAGATCATAGTCGTCCAACTTCACTTATTGTATACAGAGAGAGAAAAAAAAAACTTATGATCTTTGGCATACTTTTAAAATTGAATTCTGGTAAAGCCATTATCTAAGTAAAAAAATTTCTTGTTTTCAAAAAAAACAAAATTCAAAATTTTTGTTTTTTTTCTCTTTAAAGAAAAATATAATTTATTCAAATTTTATTATTATTATTATTAATCAAAATTCTAATAAAACCTCCTTTTGGTTACCGTACTTTTAAATATTATTATTAATTTGAATTAGTATGTAAGAACTTAACTTTAAGTAAATAAACATTCAACATTTGTTCAAATCTACAATAAAACTTGATAAAATTAGATTCTACAATAACCATGCAGAGATAACTCAGTTGGGAGAGTGTTAGATTGAAGATCTGAATGTGGATCGAACATTATGATCCAAAATGTTGCATCATAAATCAAATACTTTTACTGTCTTAGAATATGTTGCATCTAAGAGAGCATTATGATCTCAAAGAGAAGTATTTCCCCTCTACAATTTTCTTCAAGGTGGAGACAACATTAATTTTCACTTCAACAATTATAGTGTCATCAACAATAAAGCCTTCCGTTGGTTCGTTGAGATCTCTCAATGACAAGAAATTTGGGTGACCCCAACCGCGGCCGGATTCTACACCACCAAACCCAAACCAACAGTTATCTGCACACAGAATAAAAGCCAACTTTTGGTATAACTTTTAGAACTAAAGAAAAAACAAAAATTCATATTATTTGATTACCTACCTAAAAGTGATTTTAAAGGTCTTAAAAAGTACAATAAAAAAGTGAATCATCCCAACTTCGTTGACTTAAAAGAAATTTGATTCAAGTATAAAGCTTTAGAGTGACAATTACGTTAAAAAGTAGTAAATTACATGTTCTTTTCTCTGGTTCAGCTCCAAGTTGACTCAATACGGCTATCTTCATATTCAACGTACACTTGTGAACCTTGGGGAATCTCTTCGTAACTATTATACGATAGGTACAAGGACAAAAAGCCAGTCTTTGCTTTGGAGCTTCCTTTAGGATACAACCATAACTTCCTGAAACATAGATAAAAATGTAACTACCAATACATGTTTCCAAAAAGTCATTATAGCATATTAACATTAAAATTTTTTGTACCAACGGTAGCCCTCCACGGTAAAAGGATCCGATTCATAAAATTTCTTATCTAGTTGTGAAAAGTTTTTGGTTTTCCAAGTATATTTGTGACTTTTTGGTTCCTTGATGAAGGAAACGACCTCCCCCTTCCCATCACATTTCATAACAACGACATCCACTCCAAACCCACAACAATCACCAACTACAAACCCATTTGAAGAATCATTGAAAGTGTCAAGAGATATCAACTTTTCAAATCCCCACTCTGCCTTCATTGCATGAAAACGTCTTACTTTCCCATCTGCAACAATATTATTTAATTATGATCAAACAAAACAAAATTAAATTTAAACCATGTTTTTGAATAATTTGGTTTACCTTGGACTGCCAAATATTTGTCTCTAATATTATCATAAACAAGAAACGTGAACACGGATTAATGTCATCATCAGCCTTTACCAAATAGAGGGATATATGATCAGCCCCATTTCTTTTCACATCTCCATTCGGATACACTGCTAATTTCCTACCATAACAAACCAAACCAAAACTTATTAGTTATTAGTAAAATTCCTTGAAAAGTGAAGCTAAAAGTTTAATTCTAATTCCTACCATTTATAACCGCCGGCATTAAAAATCTGGGATTCATATCTGTCACGATTGGAGCTAGCAAGTGCTGCTTTGAGCAATGAAAAGGATTGGATTTGTAAGGTGTAATGGAGAGGTTTTTCATCTCTGGTGGACCTAATTACAACTGCACAACAAGATCCCATTTAGTTTAGGTTTCATTTCTTGTTTTAAAATTACATAACCCCAATACTCATAGATTCAAAAGGATGACAAAATAAAATTTTTATTTATGTTGGAATAAATTAGAAACGGAACAAGAAACAAAAAACTTGTTTTTGTTATTTCCAGAATTTCTATACAATTTTAACCATGTTTCTAAAAAATGAGAAATAAGAAACATAATAAAATACTTAGATTTCTTAATAAAATTGGTAACTTAGATTTTTTAATAAAATTGGAAATGTGTTACCAAATGGGTTCTAAGTAACCATACAAAATACCAAATAGAATTATAGATAAATAATCCATTAGTTTCTATGAATTACGAACTTCAGCGATAGATAGATAGAAAAACTGTTAGAAATACCCGAAGCAGAATCAGGGGGAGATGATATTCTTCCTCTTCATTCTCTTTCTCATAGCCGCCACAAAACACACACCCAAAAATTCAGTCTTAAGACTGAATATTGTTTGTCGGTTCGTATTCCTTTTTTTTTTCCTTGTCTATTCGTATTCTTTATTTTATTTTATTGTTTTAGGTATTCTTTTTTATTTTTATTTTTCTTTTGAGTAGAGCAGTCCTAGCTATTTGTATTTCCGGGTTTCTTTAGGGGAAAAGATTAATCTGTTGTTCTTTGGTTTAAGTTCCTAAAATGTTTTGATGTTTTTAAGAAACCTTCAGCCATGAGGATAATCTTTTTAAAATAATGTCAAGATTCATAATTATTATTTCATACATTTTATGAAAAATATCTAAGATTCGAAAAATTCCTCCTTTAACTTTATGATCTTCAAGTATATTTAAATCTTCAGGTTCTTCAAGAAAATATCTGCCTTTTTCATTTTCCCTTTGTATTTTAGAACAACTTCTCCTTCCAAAATAACACAGGACCAAATTGAACTTAAAAAAAAGGGGGTCAAAATGAAATCAAAGTAAAAAATATAGGGACAACCCAAAAATTTTAAATTATTAAAGGAAAAAAAATCAATTTTTACTGCCCAAATTTGGCAAAGTGTATCAATTTGTCCGATAAATTATAATTTCATCAAATTGCACCTCGGAATTAGATAAACATTACAATATTTATTTCTATTAAATTTTAACAAAAAGCAATACACAAATCTCTAAAAATTCACTAGTTTCGATGAAATCAAGTCCTCCACTAGATTAAATTTGTTCGATGAACCAAATAGACCATTAAATAACCACGTCAAAACTCACAAACCCAACGAAGGGCCAATTCTAAATTTATTGAATGCATGAAAATATATTTTTTTCTTCAAACTAAAACTCACGGTACAAATTGCAACATTTATTCAAATTTAATATAAACATTCTCAAGTTCAAGTTCAAGCCAAAATGTAGATACGACCTCCGTAATATTCTTTTTCTTTCATTTCATTCATTTTGTTCTTTTTTTTTTTTATCTAAATGTTCTCTTTAATAGTTTTTATTAATGACAAAAGTTAGTAAAAAAAACTACTAATTAACTTTTATTTTTATTTTTTACCAGCTATAAAAATCTACCAACTAAAATATTTTTTTAAAATTAATCTCCCCAACCACCTTCAGCCTAATGTGTCTCTCTCCTTATCCCCACTCTCTATTTCTGTCTTAGCTAGCCACCTTCTATCCCTCTCCCACCAGTTTCTCCTTTTCCTCAACCTCCATATCTCCACTTCCCCTCTATCTCTCTCCCCAGCAATCTAAGAAAAAAAAAATAAAATAATAATAATAAAATAAAACAAAATAAAATTATATATATATTTCTTTTAAGGGATCGCAAGAACAAAACGTTAGTCCTGTCTCAAGCAACTTATATCGACAAGATGCTTGTTCGATATTCGATGTAGAATTCCAAGAAAGGCTTATTATCCTTCAGGCATGAAATTCATCTGTCTAAGGAACAATGTCCTGAGACACCTCAAGAAGTTGAGGATATGAGACGTATACCCTATGCTTCAGCAGTGGGTAGCCTGATGTACGCTATGTTGTGCACTAGGCCTGACATTTGCTATGCAGTAGGGATAGTCAGTAGGTACCAATCCAACCCAGGATATGATCACTGGACTGCTGTTACGAGAATCCTCAAGTATCTAAGGAGAACGAGGGACTACAAGCTCGTGTATGGCTCTAAGGATTTGATCTTTACAGGATACACTGACTCTGACTTCCAAACAGACAAGGATTCAAGGAAATCCCCGTCGGGGTCAGTATTCACTCTTAACGGAGGAGCGGTAGTTTGGCGAAGCATCAAACAAGGATGCATCGCTGACTCCACCATGGAGGCTGAGTACGTTCCAGCTTGTGAAGCAGCAAAAGAGGCGATTTGGCTTAGAAAGTTCTTGACAGATTTGGAAGTCGTTCCAAACATGAACTTGCCCATCACATTTTATTGTGATAACAGTGATGCTGTGGCAAATTCTAAAGAACCTCGAAGCCACAAGAGAGGCAAACACATTGAAAGGAAGTACCACCTTATACAGGAGATAGTGCAACGAGGAGATGTCGTCACAAAGATCGCTTCGGAGCACAATATTGCTGATACTTTTACCAAGGCACTCACGGCTAAAGTGTTTGAGGGCCATCTAGAAAGTCTAGGTTTACGAGCATTGTACAGTTAGTCTAGGGCAAGTGGGAGAAATGTAATGGGTATAGTGTATGCCCTAGTTTATTGTATTTTCCCTTTGCTT